AAAGATGGGGTTTTATCATGTTGACCAGGCTAGTCTTAAACTCCTGACCTCAGGTGATTCACCTGCCTCAGCCTCCCAAAGTGCTGGGATTATAGGCATGAGCCACTGTCCTAAACTCAATTCCAAGCTTCAGGTCTAAGCCCTAGGAAAGAAAACTGGATCTAAGGGATCCAGAGGCAGACGATAACAGAAGTTAAATTGCACAGTGCAGGTGAGCATGGCTAATTCCTGCTGATTAAGCCAAGCCTCCTGTTTTATGGATAAAGGTTGTGCTAATATCCATGGCATAAATGAGGTTTAGAGAACTCCCAGGTTACTGACAGTAGCGGGGATAGAGGCATAGATGAGAGCGGATAATTCCTATTCTCCAGCACCTCCCTGCTTCATGGGTACAAGCTGCTTTGGCACCCGTGGGTGTCACCCTGTCATGGTTGCCTGGACTTGGGGATACAAGGACGGAGGAAAGAAAGAGGAACACCTCACTTTCCCTCCCTCACATACCCCAGGTATTTGCTAGGAAGAGACACTTGATCCCCTCTTTCTAGATGAGTAGCCATCCATCTTCAGTTTGTACCCCTTTCGAATGCATCCTGAACCCCTGGGATTCCTTTGAAAAAAGAGAACCTCTTTTTCCTTTCTCCTCCTCTGTCCTCTCTTCACTGATACGTTAATTGTATCTCTGTACTTACTACAGGACACTCCCCTCAGATGCATCCTCCAAACTGGGAAGAGTTAATTTCCCAAACCTTAAACTGGTTGGCACAGGATTCGGCTCAGGGAAAGGGAACCCAGAAGCCTGACATGCTGGCAAAAGGGCTTTTTTTTTGTTTTTTTTTGTACTAGTGGGGCTTTTGGCCTCCCTTTCCCTGTACAAACTGGTAAAAGGCCTTGGGATTTCTGAGCTGTCCTTACCTCGGCCCTGTTTCGTTTTGATACACGTCTTCTAATAACCCAGTTTGTCTCTTCTTGCCTTCAGGCCATCAAACTCCAAACAGTCATGCAACCAGAGCCTTGGACAAGGGACCCCTTTGCCAAGGACCCTCAGATAGGCCTCTGAGGGAGCTCTGACTGCCTTTTCTCCAAAACAGCACCCCCTGTCAGCAGGAAGAAGTTAAGATAAGTCCTCATACTTATCCTTATCCTAATCCTAATGGCAGTTAAATGTATTTCTTTAGAGGGGGAATGAGACAACCAAGTATAAAGGTGTCCCCGGAGAATCTCTAACCGGCCTGCACACCAGAACAGGGTGGAGCCATGGAAGTTCGTGCTGTTTGCAGAAGGAAGGCGCCTCACCTCGTGAGTTCCGGTGGTGGGGCAGGAGCCAGGTAACAGGCTTCCCTCTCACTCTGCTGAAAGTTTTTCTCCTTTTCCTTTTTCACCCAGTAAATTCCGGTTTTCTCACCTTACTATGTGTCCATGAGCCTAATCTTTCCTAGTCATGTGACAAGAACTCGGTTTTTAGTTGAACTGAGAAGAAAGTCCTACAATAGTAGGGCTTGTGAAGAAAAGTTATGACTCTTTAAATGTGTCTTCTTTTTTGAGAGTAAGTTACTGAACCGAAAGAAGCATGATTTATAAAGCCTGTAAATACTAATGCTTATTCTCAGCACAGATTACAAGGTACCAACATATAATTAAATAAATGAATTCATCTTTGTAAGATTAGCACATTTTTTCCCCAATGTGCAAGATGGTACAGGATTAGTGACTAATCTGTATTCATTATTCTTTAAAAGAAAGCTATAGTAGCTTAATAGAAACACTATACTCATCTAAATTACTATTTGGTCTTTCAGTACTTATCAATACAGAGCTGTTCCCTCCTCTTTGTTCCCTTAGTACTTCATTATAGCACATAGTATATACTTATTTTAATTTTGCAATTTCATTCCTGCTAAATAAAATTTATAGGAGGCCATTGGTTTCGTCTGAGCTTCTACACCAGGCCCAACAGACCAAACCAAATGGAGTTACTCATGCTGAAGTTCCACACCTTTAAGTGGAAATTAAGTTGCTTATCTGATCTTTTGAGAAGGAGAATGAGAGAGACAATAGCCAAATACCCAAACAAGCCAGTTTTAGCTGGCATGATAAGAGTGTCTCCTCTGCTTTAACCTTTACAAGGAAATTAACTTTGAAACCACCAATCTGCTTTTTTGTTTCTGCTTTCTTTAGCCCCTTTGTGTCTCTAAAGCCAACCTCCTCTGCTCAGCGCATCAGAACGGTCATTCTATTTTATAGGAGGAAGTGTTGTTTGATTCTAGAGTTGCAAATAAAAGCCATGTAAGATCTTTAAACTAAATTTGTCATCTTATTTTTTGACAGTTCTGGCCAACATGGACAAAGGGACTAGAGGGACTTTGCTGACAACTCCTAAAATCCCTTGAGGCATGCAACAGAGACAATGCCCATGTCTTTTGAGGCTCCCCTGTCGTCTTCAGAGTCTGAGGCTTGTACATCCAAGGTTAGACTTTGCTTTTTTTTTTTTTTTGAGACGGAGTCTCACCCTGTCACCCAGGCTGGAGTGCAATGGTGCAAGATTGGCTCACTGCAACCTCAACCTCCCGGGTTCAAGAGATTCTCCTGTCTCAGCCTCCCGAGTAGCTGGGATTACAGGCGCACACCACCATGCCGGCTAATTTTTTGAATCTTCAGTAGAAACAGGGTTTCACCATGTTGGCCAGGCTGGTCTTGAACTCCTGAGCTCGTGATCCGCCTGCCTCGGCCTCCCAAAGTGCTGGGAATACAGGTGTGAGCCACTGTGCCTGGCCTAGACTTTGCTCTTTTTGCATAGATCCCCTTGATCATTTTGGTTTCCAATTCCAGGATTAGTTTGTGCTATGAGAGGACACATGAACTTGGGGTGGGTACCAAGGGTTAGTTTGTGCTGTGTGACAGCATATGACCTTTTGGGGTTTGCAGTGGCTTGACAAGTCAGTGGCAAGAGTGGAAGTCACGACAGAAACATAACTTGATCCCGTAGGGAGGTCTCAGGTGTCTGACTGGGTCAGACAGAAATGGGCAATAAATGGCAATTACTGCAGGGGGTGTGAACTCTGGCTTTCAGAAATTCACAGGGATTTTATGTTCTATTATCTTAATTTCTTTTTCTTGTGTGCTTAGGTAGGGAAAAATCATTGGCTGACTTGGTTAAGGGGATCTCAATGCCAAAGCCAGAATGTGATTGGTGGGCATGAGTCAGGCACTTGAGAGCATCAGAATGCTTGCCAGCAAAAAACAGACTCTTGGGTTAGGATAAGCTGGTCATGGAAATGGGTCAGCTTCAAGAAAACTTCTGTGCAAGGAGGGAACATGTGAAAGCATTACATGACCCAATCCTGTGGCATTCCCCTTTTTTTTTTGAGATAAAGTCTCAACTCTGTTGCCCAGGCTGGAGTGCAGTGGTGTGATCACAGCTCACCGCAGCCTCAACCTCCTAGGCTCAAGAGATCCTCCTACCTCAGCCTCCCAAGTAGCTGGGACCACAGACATGTGCCACCATGTCCAACTAATTTTTTGTAGAGATGGAATCTCCCCTTCTGTCTATAAAGCCAATCTCCTCTGCTCAGCTTATTGGAACATTCTATTTTATAGAATGAGGAGTTGCTTGATTCTACAATTGCAAATAAAAGCCAATTAAGATCTTCAAAGTAAATGTGTTATAATTTTGTCTTTTGACACCCTATTCTCCTATACTAGATTGTGAGCTTCTTAAGAGAAAGGATTGTTTCTTACCTGTACATCATCAGTGGCCAATAATGCCTGGCACAGTGTTGGGGCTTAATCAGTATTAATTGAATATATCAATAAAGCACAAAATAGGGATATATAAACAAGTAACATTTAATACTATTTTAGGCACTGCGTTAAAGTTTGCTTGCATTATGTCATTTAATCTTAAAACAACCTTTAAAGGTGAGGAAACTGGCTTAGGAGAGGGTATGAATGATTATCTGACATCCAGAAGCCTCCTACTCACTCCAGTGTTGGCTGCTTTGCTTCTCAGAAATAAGACGAGTCAGAGACAATCAGGATTAAACCATTGGAAGAGATGGTGCTCTTCTTCTGAGGTCTGTAATGGTTATAAGCCAGACTGCCTAAGTTCAGAGGCCAGCTCTGTCGCGTATTTTGTGTGTGCCCCTGCTGAACCTTTATTAATATCAGTCGTAGCAGTAGTGGTCCTTTCCCTGCTGAATTGAACAGATCCCAGCATACTGCACTCTGCTTCAAAACTGAGTCGCGTATATAGATTTCAAAACATCATATTGTACATGTTAAACATACAATTTTATGTCAATTAAAAACAAATTAGGAAAAAAAAAAACAGGCAGAGAGCAGTGACTCGCCTGTAATCCCAGTGCTTTGTGGGGTTCAGGTGGGAGGACCGCTTGAGCCCAGGAGTTCAAGGTTACAGTAATCGCCACTGCACTCTAGCCTGGGCGACAGAGCTAGATAGACCCTCTTTTTTATTGAGACGGAGTCTCACTAATGGCGCGATCTCGGCTAGCCACAGCCTCCGCCTCCCGGGTTCAAGGGATTCTCCTGCCTCAGCCTCCCAAGTAGCTGGGATTACAGGCATGCGCCACCACGCCCAGCTAATTCGGTAATTTTAGTAGAGAGAGGGGATTTCGCCATGTTGGTCAAGCTGCTCTCGAACTTCCGACCTCAAATGATCCGCCCGCCTCGGCCTCCCAAAGTGTTGGGATTACAGGCGTGAGTCACCGCGCCCTGCCGACCCTGTCTCTTAAAAAAAAAAAACAAAAAAAAAAACAAAAAAAAAAACGGGGTCATCTTTCCATCCGTTTTCTAACGGTTTGAATCTCAGGACTAAGTATTCCTAGGCCCCTGTTGCTTACGCTGCCGTGTGGTGCCCAAGGGAGCTTTTATTCTGAGATTGGCTGGTTGGGGTATGGAGAAACAATCAAAGGCTCTGTTGCCGCAGGCGTGTTTCTGACTGTGAGTCCTGCTCCCGCCCCATGCCCAAGGGTGCCCAGACTCACCAGCGCGGGACGCGGCTCCCTACCCGGCAGGCGCCGGCCTCCCGGCGGCCCGCGCAGGGCCCCGAGCGTGCGGAGGCGCGCGGCGCAGCTCCTCAGCATGGCTCCCGGCCGCGCGGGCGCGCTTGCTCTAGCCCCGGACGGCGCACACTACCTCTGCCACACGACCGCTCGTCCGAGTTAACCCCTGGGGTGGACGCAGGGCGGAGCTTGGCGAAGAGGCGGTGCGCACTACAGGCGGCGGGCTGGCAGGGGTGTGAGGCTGGCGGAGTCCGGGGAGGGCATCGCTGTGTCTATCTTTTAGTTCCGGTCTTTTCTTTCCGAAGACTTCCCGCTGCGGCCAAGCGTCGGACCACTGCTGGGGCTTGTTAAAGGCAAGGGAAGCGCGGCCGGAGCACAGCCGGATTACCGCCTTGGGCCCCTCAGCCCCGGAACCCGCGCGCCAACTGGAGGCTCTGCAGTCATCCTTCCCGCGTGACCCAGGGCGAACGCAGTGCTCCGTGTCCCCAAGTAGTTATCCCTCCCGCGGGACTGAATTCCCTGGGGCGGGTGGGAGCGCACGCTAGAAGTGGTATGAATAAAGTGTTTTATTGAAGGTCGTGGACAAGTCTCTGGGACAGGGTGGATAGTGCTGGTTTATATAAGGCAGTCTGGGCACAAAGAGCATTTATACGATTGAAAAGCTGCTTTCCCTGCCAATAGCCCCATACCCTCCCCAGGAGCTTGCGCCTTAGAAGACTCTTGTTATGTAAACTGACAGTTAAATTATATTACAAACGAAGGTAATGGATACTAAAAAGGTAATAGGTATTGTAACTATTTTACTGTTATCAATGCTTTTGAGGTTATTTACCTCTCTTGTATTCGTATGGTGGGAATACTAGGCGCATACCTTCGGAACTTCGAATTCAGTAACCTCACTGGGACCTTGAAATCGGACTGGGTTGGAGTATTCCCATTACTCAGATACTGCAAATCCGGGCCATCCTACCCCTTTAAGTGCTTACCAGTATGCCATAGCCCTAGTCCATCCGAAGGTGAAGACTCTAATGGTTTTGTTTTGTTTTGTTTTGTTTTTTGAGACAGTCTCGCAGAGATATCGCTATTGCCCTTCAGCCTGGGCAACATACGGATGCCCCATCTCAAAAAAGCAATAAATTAAAAAGAAAACTCCAACGACCTGAATGCATTAGATATTTTGTGTTGATTCCTTTCCCATGAACAATTCCAGCAGTTTGTCTAGATATATTCCACCTAGATATATTTTAAGCCTACACTATTAACCGGGGGAAGGTGTAACATTCTGAGACAAAGGGAATTGGAGAGAGAAGGCAATGCAGTTAGGAGGGGCCCTTGGAATCCCAGAGCTACGGAACCGAAGACCAGGCATAAATGATGGATATTGAGATTCTGTAATTCTAAGAGGTTGCATTCTGATATCTCCTAACCCCCCCCCCCACCACATTCCCTTTATCTCAGTTGTCTTCCTTTTGAATATATTAATAGTATTGCAGTTTCCTGGTGGCAGGGATGGGGTCAGATTGCCTTATTAATTGTAACAATGCGCACATAGTGCTTGAATACTTATTTAGCAGCAAGAATCCAAAGTATCTTTGGTGTCCGTTGTCTTCCCATGTTGTGCATGCAGATGGAGGCACAAGTATAACGTAAACCTCTAAAATTGAGATGACTACTGTTAATTAATAGAAAAGTTTATTCAGGTAACTTAAAATTGCATCTATTTACAACTTACAGTATAGTCGTCAATCAAAACCTATAGACTTCAACCCTACTAAGATTGTCTATATGATTAATGTACCAATAGCTCACCTAATAGCTTCCTTTTGTTTTTTTTTTTTTTTTTGAGACGGAGTCTCGCTCTGTTGCCCAGGCTGGAAGTGCAGTGGCACGATCTTGGCTTACTGCAACCTCTGCCTCCAGGGTTCAAGCGATTCTCCCTGCCTCAACCTCCCGAGTAGGTGGGATTACAGGTGCGTGCCACCACATCTGGCTAATTTTTATATTTTTGGTAGAGATGGGTTTTCACCATGTTGGCCAGGCTGGTCTCGAACTCCTGACCTCAAGTAATCCACCCACCTCCCAAAGTACTGGGGTTACCAACATGAGCCACTGCACTTGGCACCCATCAGTTTCTTAAAAGACCTTAGACTTAGGGCAATTATAGGTCAGTTACACTGAGTTTAAACTTCGTTAAATTTTAACTCTAAATTTTTCAAGTAGAGGCAGTGCATTTAGCTAAGTCATCCACACTCTTGCAAGGCTTACTCTGGGATATTCGTGTTGACAGCACATATAAAATGTCTGGTCAGATTTGGAAGAGGAAGGGCAGGTTACAGTCTAGAAATAGGATTGATAAGCTATGGAAGTGGAGGAGTTTGAAGCTTGTATGGTTTAGACGAACAAATGTTCAATCTTGATAGAACTATGCTTTGAATAAGCCAATGATACAAAACTTAATAGTCTTCTCACCATTCTTTAATTTTGTAGACAGCTTTATTGAGGTATAGTTAACATGGGATGGGCACGGTGACTCATACCTATAATCCCAGCACTTTGGGAGGCTGAGGTGGGTGGATCACCTGAAGTCAGGAGTTTGAGACTAGCCGGGCCAACATGGTGAAACCCCGTCTCTACTAAAAATACAAAAATTAAGGCCGGGTGCAGTGGCTCACTCCTGTAATCCCAGCACTTTGGGAGGCCGAGGCGGACAGATCACGAGGCCAGAAGATCGAGACCATCCTGGCTAACATGGTGAAACCCTGTCTCTACGAAAAATACAAAAAATTAGCCAGGCGTGGTGGTGGGTACCTGTAATCCCAGCTACTCGGGAGGCTGAGGCAGGAGAATGGCATGAACCTGGGAGGTGGAGCTTGCAGTGAGTCGAGATCCCGCCACTGCACTCCAGTCTGGGTGACAGATGGAGACTCTGTCTCAAAAAAAAAAAAAAAAAAATAGGCTTGGTGGCACATGCCTGTAATCCCAGCTACTTGGGAGGCTGAGGCAGGAGAATCGCTTGAATCTGTCAGGTGAGGGTTGCAGCGAGCCGAGACTGCGCTGTTGTACTCCAGCCTGGGCAACAAGAGCGAAACTACATCTCAAAAAAAAAAAAAAAAAAGTCCAGGGGCAGTGGCTCATGCCTGTAATCCCAACACTTTAGGAGGCTGAGGCAAGTGGATTACAAGGTCAGGAGTTCGAGACCAGCCTGACAAACATAGTGAAACCCCATCTTTACTAAAAATACAAAAATTAGCTGGGCATGGTGGCATGAACCTGTAATCCCAGCTACTCAGGAGGCTGAGGCAGGAGAATTGCTTGAACCCGGGAGGCAGAGGTTGCAGTGAGCCAGGATTGCACCACTGCGCTCCAGCCTGGGTGACAAAATGAGACTCCGTCTCAAAAAAAACAAAAAACATAAAAAAGAGATAGTTGACATAAACTGAACATATTTAAAGAATACAATTGGATGTTTTGATACAAGTTTACACTCATGTAAACATCACCATAATTAAGATAATGAGCATATCTATTATCCACAAATTTGCTCATGCCTTTTTGTAAACCCTCCCTTCTATCCTATAGTACTTTCTGTCACCGTAGATTAATTTGCATTTTCTAGAGTTTTCTATAAATGAAATTATATAGTATGTACTTTTTGTGGTCTGGATTTTTTAAATTCACTATAACTATTTTGAGATTCATCCATGTTTTGCTTATGTCAAGAATTTATTTTTTAAAATTGCTGAGTAGTATTCCATGGTATGGATGTACCACAGTTTTTCTGTTCACCCATGGATGAGCATTTGGTTTATTTCCAGTTTTTGTGAATTACAAATATAGCTGCTGTGAGTACAAGTCTTTGTATGGATATATGCCTTCTTGTCTCTTGGGTAAATATCTAAGAGTGGAATGGTTGGATCGTGTGGTAGATGTATGTTTAACTTTTTAAGAAACTGCCAAACTTTTCCAAACTAGTTGTATCATTTTACCAGCAGTGTATAAGGATTTCAGTTCCTCCACATCCTTGCCAACCTTTGGTATGTTCAGTCTTCTATATTTTAGCTATTGTAACTAGATGTGTGTAAGTATTTTATTGTGGTTTTAACTGGCATTTTCCTAATGATGAATAATGTTGGACATCTGTGGGCTTATTTTTCATCTGTGTATCTTCTTCATTGAAATGTATATTCAAATATTTTGCCCATTTAAAATAATGAGGTATTTGTATTCTTATTATTGCACTTTGTGTGTTTCCCTCTGATAACCGTTTCACATCTAAATTTTAAATTAAATTTCAAACCTTTCATTTATAAGAAAACTGAATGACAATGTGATGCTGGCCACTTTAATATTTCTTGCTACATTTTTCTTGGATTTGTTGTCATCAGTCTCTTGGAAAGGATTTATTCTTGAATTGTTATCCATGGGGCAAGACACCAAAACGAGTCTCCGGATGGGTGAAGGGTCCCTCTTCCCTTTCAGTAGTGGAAGAAGGGTGACTGTGAAAGAGGTTGAAAACAGGAATCGCAGGCTCATTTTTAGTGATATTTAATGATATTTTAGTGATATATAAATTCCTCAAATTTATCTGCATCATTAGTATTTTAACATTATGCACAGAGTTACTGTGTGGTTCTTTTTTTTTTTTTCTTTTAACCATCATACAATATGTCCATGTAATGTTGTGTGGTTCTTGAAGTCATTTTAATCACATGGGGGAGAGGGAGATTTCTACTTGAGGCGGTGTCAGGTAGATGGTATTGTCATTTACTACCTGTCATATGCTCTAGCTGCACAGGTCTCCTTTCCGCTCTTGGAGCGCCCCAGGCTCTTTCCTGCCCAAGGGCCTTCTTGTGTGTTGATGCTCTGCTTGTAATGCTCTTTCCCCCTACTCTTTCCTAGCTAACTCCTACTAAATTTTTGGCGTCAGCATAATTGCCACTTTCTTAGGGAGGCCTTCCCTGAACAAAGTGCTTACTAGGTTTCAAACAGTATGCTAAGTGCTTTATATACATGATTTTATTTAATCTGAATTAGGTCCTCATTAAATTATCTCAGAGTGCTGAAACTTTTCCTTTAAAACAATTATTACAGTTTGTAGTTAAATATATATTCGTGTGCTGCCTGTCTCTCTGAGGAGACTATGGGCTTTTTCCATGTCTCTTTGGTGTACCCATGCATCCTCAGTGACATGCAGATCTTAGACACTCAAAAATAATTGTTGAATGAACTAATGAGTGGGAAACATTTGGAAGGAGGGCTGAGATCTTCTTTTCTCTCTCAACTTTTTCTCTTTAATTATCTCATCAATTCCCATGGTTTAAATACCTTTTATTTGCTGATGAATCTTAACTTTGTATCTCTAGTTCAAAGTTCTCTTCATTTAGTCATCAGGATAATCATGTGAGAGTACCATTATTATCCTTATTTTACAGGTGAAACATCTGGAGAAAATTATATATTCCCATGCTATCTTCAAATGTAGGGTTTCATGG